TATATATATATATATATATATATATATATATATATATATATATATATATATATATATATATATATATATATATATATATATATATATACCGAGTGGTATACCACTCGGTATACAGTTTTATACCGTACCAAACGAACATCGAAACTCCGGTACAGTATGAAATTGCATACCTTAATTTAAATTATTAATAACTACTGTGTGCACAATATAGTGCCTATGCTGAAAATCCGGCAGCTTATGGAGATGCAACCTACAAAAGTTCATCCCTTCAGCAGCAGTCAATGCCATGTATCAATCTTAAATGAAGGATAAAGACCAATATAAACCAGCATCCACCCATGCCACTGCACATGAATGAGAAAAGCATCATCGTAGCATGAAAAATAGTCATACTGTGGCAACTGATAAAATGTTTGAGTGAGTTTTGTAGCTTACTTTATGATAATGCTCCTCAAATTTTCAAAAGATTAATAATCCATTTGGATTTCTCTATTACATAGCTAAACAACAAGAGAATATCTAAAATGACCAGGACATGGTTTACAAGATAAGCCGAGACTTTAAAACAAGCCACTCTAGCTCAGGAGATGAGTTTGCCAAAAACCTTGATTTCTTAGGGTCCACTGAGATTCAAATAATAATCTAGAACTAGATGATCAGGCTGATCATGATTGCTCAACTAGTTAGCAGATAGTCATGAAGGTGCTGGTCAATTGTAATTGATCCAGATGACCCTACCAAATTTAACAGTTCAAAAATTCTTGATTCCCGTGATCCAACTTGGTCCACCTAATTGATCCAGGTCAATTTCCATCCTAAATCACTACAAACCTTAATCCAAAGGCACACAAAGAAAGATCACATGGTTTTATAGCCATTTGCACTAAATGGCATTTCTAAACTTTTTTTATGCTAATGGTCTGTCCATGCCCATAAGGTGCAGTGAGGTTTTGGTTGTCGATGTGAACTTTGTTAAATTAGGTTGTAGAAGAAAAGAAGATTCATCAGATCTTAAGAGATAAGGGGTTTTTCAATTTTGGTTATAGCAAAGGACAGCAACTATTGAACTGCTGTACTGGAACATTGAAATATTGATGTGTATGTTCCCAAAGTAAGCCAATGACTTTGAACTAAGACAAATTGAACCTAATTATGAACATAATAATTCATGTCAAGCTCAATAGATTGAACCTCTGTTTTATTTTTCTCAGTACTGACTATAGGTCTTAAATGGCTTAATCATTTTCTACCTTTTGCAACATCTGTTGTCTCTACTTGATCAGCATTTTTTTTTTCTATTTTTTTCAGTAGATCCTTACTTTTCGTGTTCCAATGCCACTAAACTACTTCCAGCTTCCTGAATCTTGAAGAACTTACAACATAACCAGTTCAATCTAAGGCAGATTGCACCATTATGTATCTAAAATTATCAAAATAGATGGCGTGGAAACCGAAAAGCATACTAACAAATGTTTAGGGGATCAACAGAAGATGGTTTAATAAACAGAAATCAAAACAAGCAATAAAAAAGAGAAAACTAACACTTCCAAGGAAAGAACTTCACCTAAGCTTGTCAAGTGGAAGAGGCCCCAAATAAATATTACAGCTAGGGCAGTGGTTTGTCTCCTCATCATTGAGTTTCTCATATATACATTTCCTGCAAACTGAATTAGTATACAAAGATCAAGAGTGTAAGTCATGTATTGAACTCTTAGAAATCATCAGTTAGTCCTACATCTCAACTATTTGTCAAATCTAAATACAGTAACTATCTACATGTATAACCTCAAAAGAATAACTAGTTATATGAAAATTTTAAAGAAAATTGTCTAACAGAATCCAGAAGTGAAACATAATATAATATGTACAATAATTTTTAAAGCATAAATGAATCAAGTGTAAGTTAAATAGATTTAAAAGCTGAGAATAATGCAAGATTTACCAAAGGTTATATAAATAGATGACTAATGAACATTAAAAAAACACCATGCACGAGTTTAATCTGAGCACAGACATGGTGGAAGAGAAGGGTTGATGGTAAAATGAATGATCCTTTTCTCTTGAAAGATGACAAACTGTTTGGAATTTAGCAAAGAAGAAACCGAATGTCACTAATGGATAACAGATAATCTGTTAAGATAGTGAGAGAAAAATAACAAGCATGAACTACCAGGTGAACAAATTAGAATCCAGCATAGAGAATTTTATGAGCCAATAATTAGTCAACATTATCAACTAAGTATCTGTTCTCGAATAAAAGAACAAAAGCATGCCATGGATGACTTTCATTGAAAAATAAAAGGACATCTCATAAAAAAGAGGAACATATGTTTACACTGGATCAAGGATCATAAAATAATTAGGAGTTGTATGATCTAATCAATCTCTGATAAGCGACCTAGGTGAATCAGAATTTCTGAGTTAACCTCAAGGATCGAAATTAAATTACAGTGCTAGTTGCATCATCAATGAGGTATAACGACATGTTATAATGCAATGATGAAAAATCTCAAATTCTCGCCCAGATACGGAAGCACAATTAGCTTCCCTTCTAAATTGGTAACAAACATAGATCATATACATGTTTAAACGCAGCTTCAGGTGGCCATGGATATTGCATAAATGGACAAAGTTACACCCGAAAGCTCAAAGGTTTGATTATAGTAGATATGCACTCGCAATAAATAGAGAAGTTAGCGAAGAATAAACTTTCGACGTATATGACAACACTCATTCATCACCTCTACACCTCAATAACGCATGCGATCGCAGACGCTCATTGCCGAAGGGTAAAAACGAAAAAATCGCAAAAGATCCATCTTGCCAAACGTTTCAGATACTCTTCAGGCTCTCAACCTCGCAAAATCCAAGAAACAGGACAAACCAAATCGAAGAAAAAGAAAGAACCCACATTATAGGATAGGAAAAAACACGAACGATACGAGAATTCACGTCAAAACGCCCAATAAAACCCGCAACCGAGATCAGGAAACCCGGAAAGATAGAAGCTTTCGGTCCAAGGGAGGCGGAGAGGACGAAGGCAGAAACTCACACGTGTGGAGGCACTCGATGATGGTGGTAGCGTCCCGGAGGAGCTTCAGGCAGAGCGGACACGTCATGCACTTGGCAAGAAGATCCCGCCTCACCATCACCACCTGCGACGGCCCGGCTGCCGAGGCCTCGCCCTCCCCCGCGCCCGCGCTCAACATATGCCGCGCCGCCAGCCCAGGGCCAGCCGTCGGGGAGGCACAGGAGACTCCCGTGAATGCGTGGATTTCTGAGCCGGTGGATCCCCAGCACAAGGCGGTACGCCGGATTTTATTGATGAATCACGACGAGGCGGCAGGGATCCGGGGGCGGGGAAGCGGGGAAAGTGTGATCTAGACGAGATGAGAAAGCACGCGGAGATGGAAAGTAAGAGATTTAGAAGGAGTAATTGAAGGAGGAGGAGAAGAAGAAGGGCAAGGGGGCTTGGGGGAGTAGGGGAGAGATCGAAGGGGACGACGACGAGCAGAGCCGAAGAAAGCGAGAGAATAGAGGAGGGGAGGAGAGAGGAGTTAACGAAATAAGATTTATAAATATTATATATATATATATATATATATATATATATATATAAATACATAAAAGATGGACAAGCGAGTTTGGCCAAGACGACGTGGCATCCAGGTGGGCCCGGCTGGGACAAGGACGAGCCTAACGTGCTCCGTTCGTCCGTTCAATGCGCTCAAGCCGATGAAATAGTGACCATGTAAATAGACCATATTATTTATACGTAATTATAATATATATTGTTGAAAATAACTCGAAATTAGTATGCATCGAAATTATAGAGAAATGTTAATGGAGCATAAAATATAAAAGACACCAACTATAAATTTTACTTATAACACAAATAAATATAAAAGACACCAACTAAACTACATAGTCATAACTAAATTTATTAGATTTCTAATCTCAGCCGGACTCTTAGTCAACCTCTAGAGCTTGTCATACCTTAATCTAATTTGATAGACTTCTAATTTACATAGAACTCCTAATCAAAGTTACAACACAAATTCTAAGACTATATCAGGTAAATTTTAGATTATCTTCAAAAATGATAAAACCCAATGCGATCTCCCCGCTGATATTGTCACCAAAGGTAGCACTCTATAAAAGGAAATTGTCATGTTTAATTTGATCTATAATTTAGAAATTTATAATACTGAGATATAACTTAAATCTCTTTTCATATCATGTACATAGTTTAAATAATGTCTTTTTCATTATGATACAACATAAATTATGTACCATGGCTTTACGATAACAATGATCATGTCCCGATTCAATTTGATAAAATAATTAATATATTAATTTTATCGACTCTCAATTATTAACTCAAAATATTTAATTTCTCCATAATGATAACTTATAAATGAATCCAAAAATAATTATAAATAAAACAGATGATATTTTGATGAAATATCATAAATATATTTTTATTATTATGATATATATATATATATATATATATATATATATATATATATATATATATATATATATTCTATGCTTGCGATCAAATGTTTACTGATCTTAAGATTTGCTCCATAGATGGTGACAAATTTTGCTATAAACTGCTCTACAATCTTAGTTCACTATATTCTCTATCACATTATGAATGCACCAGACGTCATGAATACGCTACGATGCATCCATGAATTGATTTATGAAAAAATAAACTATTTATGATACTTATTATTTGTAATAATAAGGTTGAATCAATTGTCGCATATAAGAATCTTATTCCTACCAAAATCATGTGTACCATTGAGTTATCCGATATTACCATTACTGATTAATCCTTGTAAGTAAAAGACAGTGAACTCATGTTCCTCATTGACGTCATCATCATGACCCGTACTCATCATAAGTGAGCAGCTCAAATGCCTATCTATTGGTGTCAACTTATGTTTTCTAGTGCAAGCTTTTCAAGCAGCCACTGTGTTCAAAGCTTATCTCATCCATTGGACGTACCATGGTAAATTTAGATCATGTCAGGATACATGCGACGACAATGTGAGTTGTCCCTTCACCCCGACCATTGTAATCATATTAAATACACTTCTAATGATAACAAAATTCGAGGCGATGGGATCAATACTTCGTCGTTTCAGTACAATATTTAACGAACATTAACGAATTAATTCAAGCACAAAATTATAAAATTTAGATATAGTATTGAAAATACAGCTATATCTAACTTGTTTTTGTGCAAATCTTAGGTTGAATTTAAACTTCAATTTATCCATTATAGTCTTATCAGATCTGTGTGGGTTCATGCAGTCTGTGGATTTTGTTTAGAACTACTAAAATTTTGAAGAAGGAAAGTGTGGATCTGGATCAAATCTATGTGGGTCTTGGCCAAATCCACATAGCTCTTGTTCGGAAGAGAAATCAAGAGTGGTCGAAAGAGAGAGGAACGAATGAGTGTTTGTGGGAAGTAGCTAGGATCAATCTATTCACCAATTTAGAACGAATGAGAGCATCATCTAAAATGATATAAATATGTTCAAAGAGAACCTACAAATATTAGAGTTTTTTTAAATAGTTTTGGACTAAATCAAAAATATTATCTTGAGCAACATAACTTCTCAGTTTATTTATGTAAATTATGACAACCATGCGTTAGATTAACAGGAGGTTGACACAGATAAATTATAATTTCCCATCCATAATTTATACTACGGGAAGATAGATCTGAAATGTCCAATGCCCACAACCAATCTCTAGATTAAGATAAGAGCTGATAAGAGCTCATAATTAGATGAAGCTCCGATCAAGCTATTAAACAACTCGGGAGATATCCGGGTGTATAGATGATACATTATAGCGAACGACTGGTGTGCATACGAAATGTAATATAAGTTAATGTAGAGGGAATTTTTAGAACATCTACACACTATTGCAATACACCAATTAGTCTTTTTTTAATCTCTCTACCGTATGAGATGCGTTTTTTTTCCTTTTTGAAATCCCCACCGCAAGACGCACGATATTCCACAAATACCCCCGGCACATCATCGAAATTACAACAGACTACCCCCGTGAAGGCAGGTTGAGGAAGAAAAATAAACAAATAAAACTAAACAAAGCCGACTCCACTACTTCTTGGCTTTCTTCGTCGTCGTCTTAGCCGCCGGGACAACAGCCTTCCTGGTATTCTTCTTCGCGGCAGCCGCTGCCTTCTTTGGAGCCGCGGCGGATTTGGCCGGAGAGGAAGCCAACGCCGCCGGTGCTGCTTTCTTTCCGGGGGTGTCCCTAGCAGAGGTCTTTGCTGCCTTCACCAGCCGCGCGGGTGTCCTTCGCTTCGGCCTGGCTGCCGCGAGCTTCGGCTTCGCTGCCGGCTTAGCTTTTGCGGCAGCCTGAGCTTTCACCTTGGCCTTGGGCTTCGCTGGCGATGCGGCTGGCTTGGCTTTCGGTTTGGCGGGGGAAGCCGGCTTTGCCTTCGGCTTGGGCTTGGCAGCGGGGATCGGCTTAGCTTTCGGCTTGGGCTTAGCGGCAGCGGGGGCCTTCGCCTTGGGCTTCGTCTTCGTCGGAGCAGCGGGTTTCTTGGTGGCTGCCTTGGGTTTCGGTTTAGGCTTCGTCGGAGCAGCGGAGGACGAGGAAGAGGAGGTGGCGGTGGCGGCGGCTACCTTGTAGGAGTTCTTTACCTTCTTGAGCTTACCGGCAGCAGTGAGCCTCTTCAGCTGGCCGAGGAGGATCTTCCGAAAGTTTCCCGGGAGGTGATTCTTGTGCTTGTCCTCGAGGAACTTCCCGATCGCATACTGGCTCGACCCGGTGCGCTCCTTCAGCGTCACGATCGCCTCCATGATCATCTACACCCCATACAAACCAAACCAAATCAGGCAAGGAAGAATGAGATCCGATCCAAACGAATGATCGACCGAGATCAAACGCATGGCGAACTACCGTCATCGAATTCTCACCTCGGCGTACGGCGGGTGGGCAGAAGGCTTCCGTGGAGTAGCAGGCTTCTTGGCCTTGGCCTTGGCCTTACTGGGGCCCTTCGCCTTCTTCCCCTTGGATGGCTTAGCATCAGCAGCAGCGGCAGCGGCAGCGGCAGCGTCAGCGTCAGCAGCAGCCACGGGGTCCTCCTCCGCCACCGGATCAGAGGGGGCCGCATCAGCGACGGGCTCCTCAGCCGCCGCCGCGTCAGTCTCCTCCTGCACCATTATTAGGGTTTCGGGAGCTCGGCCGAAGCGAGATCTGATGGGATGGGGAAATCAGATGCGGGCGCGGTCGACGACGGGAAAGGGGAGGGTGGCCATTTATATATAAGCCGGAAGGGGAAACGGCGAAAGCTGATTGGCCGAGAGGTAGGACTCCCGGATCGATACGCCCACCGCCTTCAAATGTGGGCCCTCGGATGTTCCTTCATCAACGGCTGAGAACGGTTGAGTTGATACGGCCCGGAAGAAGCTTGGGGTGGGAGGGGCTTTGCGACGGGATAAAGTGTGCTTCTTTTCTCATTTTGCAGGGGAATAACTCGAGCTATGATCCATGGATTTGAGCCATGTCTCGACCTGGATCTGCAACTCGAGCTTAGCTTTCGAACGAGCATAGGCTCGACCAAATCGGTTTCTTTGTTAGCGAGAATTTTAATTTAGAAGACACAATGGTCCGACTGAGACTTTTGTGTGAGTTCGGCGGAGTTCAGAACCTCGGGTGGAAAATGCCGACGGCTTCAACCGATGCTTGTGGTTTCAGATGAAAGCAGATTAGAAGACGGATCAATAGAACTTGGAATCGCGAAATTTGGTTGAGGATTGCATGGGTTATGGCTCACCCAAAGTTGAGGTAAGTGACACACGTCCTTTTATCTACTTGATGCTAATCAAACCATATGGATTAATTTGGCATTTACCTCTTGCAAGTAATTAATTAATAAAAATTTCTACAATTTGAATATTTCGGTGATGAATTATTAAAATATTTAGAACGAAATATCAAATCATAATTTGCATGTTATGATCAAGTCATTATTCAGTCTGTGGATATGCTTTATATGTATTGTATTTTGTTATGTTGCATGGTGACGTGAATACGTGCAATGAGCTGAGTCAAACCTGCAAAAAATTAGACTGCTTAAATCTACTACTTCTAAACTAAAAATTTGTTAGTTTTGAAAATGAATTCAGCATAATCAAATCTATGTTATTCAAGGTATGCTACCATCAACATGATTATGGCAAACTATTATGAAGATTATCAAAGATTGTTCCATTGATTTCTAAATGTCATGGTTCAATAACAAGTCCTAATGTTTTATATAACTATTCAGAGTGTGGTGATATCTTTAGTTAAATTAAAAACATTTAAATGGATTTTGTTGTTTCTTATAGAGACATGTTAATTCTAGCTAGTTCATCGAGGACAATGTAATAGATTAAGTGAATTCGTTTTACTTTATGAACAACTTAGATAATCCTATTTATAATGTTAACTGATGGTGTTGATATGTCAATACATATTTGATTATTGTGTTTCATGTGAGAAGAAAATATCAGGTTAAACATGGCAAGTGATACTTCTATATGCTTCTTCACGAATCAAGAAGCACACAACCCAGACTCATCTCACTTATATCTACATAACTTAAGAATCAAGAAAAATTATTTGATGAGAAAAAATATCAATATATTTAAATCTACATATTAGTACAGTTTGATACATTCTCTTGGGAAAAATATATATGTTCTTCAGTATAGTAATGACAAGAGTTTTGGACATACAATATTGCTTGAGGGTTAGAGAACTTTCTAGTTGAATGTTCTTTATAAGTCACATAAAGCAACCTAACTATTATGTAAAAAACAAATATTCATTAGCATGTCTTATCCTCTTTACTGCAGAAAATTAGGTAGACTTTTCATGAAAATAAATCTATTAACTTGTTTAGTAGGAATATGAAACCATGAAAATAGATTCACAATTGAACAAGATGTTGTGTATTGCTAATGAATGATGTTGTACATTTTATATGAAATAAAGAGTGCTTGATTGCCCTTCAATCATTTCCTTGAATCAGGGTGATTACACTTGAATTATAGGAGATCCGAGAGACGTATAATAAGTAGGTGTATTAACATTATATCTTTTCAATCAATTGATGCATGATTTGTGGACAATTCTCTACCTTGCTTTAATGAGATAAAAAGAAAATTTTGTATATGAATAAATATAAGCAAACCATAGACATACAACGGAATGAAACGAAAATCACGTTCAAATAGGACATCAAGATTTACGTACAAAATTCTTCTAACGTGAAGGGTAAAAGTCACGGGGCAAGCTAGAGAAAATCTACTATAAAAATAATTAATGTACAAATCTTAGAGTCTCTTATTCAAAACCCAAGCAATAATCACGAGATAATAACTATGATACAAGGATTATATCACTATGCATAATATTTAAAATCTTCGCAAGTGATCATAGTAAGAATTTACTGTAAATCTAATCTAACATAAGATGAGAATATTGTTTGGATGATGAAAAACAGTCTCTGCGTTGTCCTTGTCTTCTTCCCTTTCCTTTTTCTCTTGTTTTTCTGCCCTCAACTACCATTGTTGCTTCTCTCTTTTTCATAGCCACCACTGCTCCCTTTTTCTACCCTATCCGCTATACCTCTTTGGTTAAAAGAATTAGAGTTTTGGTTAAACGAGGAGAGAGAAAGCTAAAGTGGGCTATGGGTAATTAAAGTCCACTGGGGGCTGAATAATGGGTAATCTACCCAACAAACTCTCCTTTCAACTCATAAGGGAGGTTGTCTCATGACTCCTCAATGTGAAGTCATACTGACCAACTATCGGCATTTCTCCTGTATTTCTTTCGGTAATGTCTTTATCAACATATTTGCTAATTGTCATCTGTGTGCATTTTCTGAAGTTGCAACTACTTCTCTTTAAATACATTTCGAATCTAGTGGTATCTGACATCTATATACTTTGACTTAGAATGAAAAGTTAGGTTCTTATACAAATGGATGACACTTTGGCTGTCATAATGCACTACATAATTTTTTTATTTCAGCCCTAATTCTTGTAAGAATTCTTTTATCCATAACATTTCCTTGCAAATCTCTATAGCAGCAATATATTCTACTTCTATGCTAGAGAAACCAATACACCTTTGCAATTTGGATTGTCATAACACAGCTCCCCTTGCAAAAATAAGTACAAAACCTGATGTGGATTTCCTCGTATCTATATCTCTTATCATCTCTGCATCTGTGTAACTTGTTAACACAAGCAGTCCACCTACAAAGCTTAAACAAACCTTAGAGCTCCTTTTGAGATATCTAAAGATCCACTTAACTATTGCCTAGTGCTCTTTGCTTGGATTTGCAAGTGTAGGAAAATCTAGAGGCGATATCACATGTATAGTGGAAGAACAGAAAACAAGAACCCCAAATTTCTTAAAAATGTGTTCATCATCATATGAAGATTAGTGCACAAAAACTCTCAAAACTTAAATCCACGTGTGAGATAGTTGTGTTTTACCTAGGGAGATCGTATATCCGTAAATCCTTGCAGATTTATAGGAGAGGATGAAGGAGGTCAAGCGCTCCTCCAATCACTATCCAAAACTCCACACCTACTATCTAAGGAGGAGAATAAGATGTGAGAACCAAGAAGCCTCTGGCCTATGGATCTTTGGGTCTCTCCTATTTATAGAGGTCCCTTGTCTACTTAATCATAATAGATTCTACCCTATTGGGTATTGGATCTTCATCTAATACATGTATGTATATATATACATACATGTATATATGTATGTATGTACATACATGTATTGGATCTTCATCCAACTTCCCGAAATCTATACTCGTAATAGCCTTCTCGCAGGTTTGATGATCAATATCCTCAACATCCTCTCATCTAATATGTCCCACATATCTCTCAAGAGGATGAGATACTCTGCCGGACCTATGTAAAGTTGAAACTTGTGTGTTAGGTACTTGAACAAACTCGGGCTGTGGAGTGGTGCTTGAGCTAGGTTCTCCAATCTCGCTCAACTCTATCACGCTCTCACTATCTCCACTAAGAATGTGTTCCTTCTCAAGGAACACTACTCTCTTGGCTACAAAGACCTTTTGGTCCTCTGGGTGATAGAAATAATACTCATAAATTTCCTTGGGGTATCCCGCGAACTTGTACCGTTTCATCCTGAATTCCAACTTATCGGGGTTGTGTCTTTTAACGTGGGCTAGGCATCCCCAAATCTTAACAACATTAAGATTGGGCTTCTTCCTTTTTCATATCTCATATGGTGTAGAAACTACCGACTTAGTTGGAACTCTGTTCAGAAGGTAAACTACGGTCTCTTGGGCGTATCCCCAAAATGAGACAAGTAGGTCGACGAAGCTCATCATGGACTACACTATGTCTAACAATATATGATTCCTCCTTTCAGATACACTATTGAGCTGAGGTGTATAAGGAAGGTGTCCATTGAGATATAATCTCATGGTCCTTAAGGAATTGGGTGAACTCTGTAATCAAGTACTCACCTCCTTGATCTGATCAAAGTGTCTTGATACTCTTTCCAGTATGGTTCTCCACTTCATTTTTATACTCTCTAAATTTCTCAAAGGTCTCAGACTTGTACTTCATCAAGTACACATGTTCATACACTAAGAAATCACCAGTAAAAGTAATAAAGTAGGAGTAATTATCTATGACATAAGTTGACATGGGTCCACATACATTACTATGCATAAGTTCCAACAGCTTATTGGCTCTCTCTCCAATTCCACTAAATAAAGAGTTGGTTATTTTTCCATAAAGGCAATGTTTGCAAGTTGTATATGACTAACAGTCGAATGGATCTAGATATACATTCTTTAGTAATTTTTGAATCCTTCCCTCATTGATGTGACCTAGCTTACAATGTTAAAAGTATGCACTGTTCACCTCATCTTGTTTTCTCTTGGACACACTTATATTCATGATATGTGGAGCAGTGTTTAGCATAAACAAACCATTATGTAATGTTCCTCTTGTGATGATCTCATCATCTAATAATATTGAATAACCATTGTTCTAAAAAACTAATTTATATCCACTAACTATCAAACATGAAATAAAAATAATATTTTTGATAATAGAAGATGTTGAATCTCATATTTTGATGATGAAACTACTTGATATGTATTTATGATTTAATCTGTGTTTTGAGTGATGTAGGATGCTTCGATCAGAATGAGACAATTAAAGTAGGAAAATCATATTATGCCGGAGGAACATGTCAAAA